TCTCTGCGCTCAACTGTAGCGCGTGGGTTTTAATTACATGGCTTTTCTACATCGTACGGAAATGTAGTCATCTCCGAGCATCCTCAGGAATGGTGCATTTTGATTCAAATGAGCTTTGAGATTGCTCCTGCCTCCCTTTTATTTGATCTAGAAGGGGCACAGACTGTACCTGTTTCCATCTCTGTGCTAGGATTCCTTTCTCTCTTTGGCTTTATAGGCAGTCAGCTTGTGATCTGTCCTGTAACATTCCTTGTTCTTAAATATTTGTGAAGCTTTTTAGCAGCCCTGTATCCTAATTATTTCTCTCTGTTCTGCAGGAGGCCAGGAATTTTGGTGCTCATCAACGACGCAGATTGGGAACTAATGGTCTGTACTCCTCAGTTTGACTTTCTTTGTTGAAAATATTGCTCTGTCTGTTCTGCGGTTGCTCTCAGAGAAGCTATTTCTGATTCTTGCCCCAAGCAAAGCATCTCGTATTTGAGGGGGAAGGGGCAGGCTGGGATCTCTCTCCCTGTCTTCTGCTGTGGCTGTTCAGAAGCCTGGAGCCTTTCTTTAACCTGCTGAGTCTCGTCAGCCAGCCAGTGTCTGAAGAGAGATCACTCGTATTCCCTGGTCTCTGGCAGTCGGCTTCGCACCTCTGGCTGCTAGCAGGTCTCTCACGCGTGGGGTAGCAGCTTAGTGGGTACCAGGCAGCTTCACAGCCCCGAGCAGACGGCCTTCGCTAGAGGAAGGCAGTGCTGTAGCGGGTGAAGGCAGCCCTGGGGAGATTTCTACCCAAACAGGCAACTGGTAAATACTTTCCCTTTTCGGCCCACTGTTGTGCTCAGACAGCAAACAGCCCCTCACTATTTTCCTGCCTCAGGCAACCGCCTGTTCTGTCAAAACCCTTGTCCAGAAAGTGGTGTGGGATAACAAACGTCAGCTCCTTGTCTGATCTCTCACCTTTGCTTCCGGTACGATGAAAACATCCGTCTATCCCCTTCTGCTCTCTCTAATGCTCACCATCTTTTTATGAGCTGTTTTCTCTTTGCAGCTAGTATTTGGAAATGACATCTAAACTATTTTTCTTTTTTTTTTTTTTCTTGGCCTGCAGGGTGAGCTGGATTATAAACTCCAGGACCAGGATAACGTGCTTTTCATCTCGACATTGCACGGTGGGTGAACTCCTGGAAAAACAAGAGGATGTAAATCCAAATCCCTGGGCAAAAAACCCAAACAAAAACCTAAACCCACCCAAAACTCTCTTGAACTGCCTGTGCCCGGTCTCTGCATCTTCCCACCGCGTTCGCTTGTTACTAGCCATCCAAATAAAGCCCTGCCAGCACACGGCCTGCTGTCCACCACAACAGCATCCATCTCTTGGTCCTCATTTCGCCTCTCCTGACTGCACTTCCAGGTACCCTGACAAGCAGAGAGCACCTGCAGCACATGGGACTTTGGTTTTCCTTGATGGGAGGAGGAGGGGTGCTGACCCTCAAGTAGGACGATGTGCCTTTGCAGGCAATGAGGCGTTCTGGGGGAGCTGGGCCTGCCTTGGGGCAAGGCTGGGGTGCCTCTGCCTTGGTGCTGGGAACTGGGATTTTTTTAACACAATACTTAGTGTTGGTACGGTCTGTGCAGCAGCCATGGGAAGGGCAAGACATGAAATGCAAGGAAACAAAAGGTTATTTTGCTAGCTTTTCCGTGAGGTAGCGGACATTACAGCTTCAGAGCCCTCTGTAGTGACTTTCCACTGGTGATATTTATTTATGGGAAGTAGGAGAGAAATAGGCTTTTTTGGTTTTGGTTTTCTGATGCTTTATGCCTCTCTCATACCTGAGGTGAGGCAAGATGAAGTACTAGTCCACGAACAATGTCAATTTATAACCATTTGGTTGGAGGGGAAACAAACCCATGCCCAGCCTGAGACAGCACCGAGTGATAAGGGCACCAAATTATCTTTCTGTCACCATGCTGGACAGAATTGATCCCTGTGTTGCGTTCTGTGCAGGTGGGGAGCTGCGTTGCTGCAGCCTGGCTAGGGAAGGGCTGGGGCTGGAGATGCACGGTTAAAGCATGGAGACCCAGGAAGCAAAATCGGTGGCTTTTAACCCTTTCCATCGGTGGGAGGGGGAGGTTTCTTACTGCATGCCCTGAGGAAGTCCTGTGAGCGCAGCAGAAGTGGGTGTGCATGGCTCTGCTAAGGCACGGATGCTGTTCGCTTTCCAGAAGTTTCCTCGGACAGACGGACTGGCCCGCCTGCCAGCCAGGAGGCCACAGCGAGAGCAGAGGGAGGGGGTCAGAGAGGATCACGTTGGCGTCAACAGGTCTGAAACGTGCTGTGCGAGCTTCTAGGAGCGTCCGACCGGGATTGTCCTTCCTCTGCCCCCCCGCCCTGCTCACCTGCGTTTTGGCACGGCTCCGGCAGCAAGCGTTGGTCCCCGGCGGCAGCACTCCTGCCCAAGCAGCGACTCTCCGGGGGCAGAGGGCTCACCGGTGCCGTAAGCTCAATCGGTGCATCTCAGAGCTGATCTGCAGCACGTACTGCTCGCCCTGTGCTCGGTCTCCGGGAGCTGCCGAGGAGGAGCCGGGAGGTGGTAGGCAGCGCAGTGCACCAGCCCCTGCTCAGGCAGCCTGGCCTGACACCCCGCGAGCTCCCTACAAGGAGCCTTTCCCATCCTGTGCCTGACAGAGGAGTTACTCTGATGCGGAGGGAGTGCCAAAGAGTAATTCTCCCATCTGGCTTCTCCGGTGACTCCTCTCTCACATTTACCCCACCACAACCTGCGTAACTAAAAGCACCCACGGACTGTGATGCTGCTGCATCTGAGAAACTGTAACTTCAAGCCCACTGCTGGTAACGAACCGATACTCAGCCTTTTCCAAATCCAGCCGCAGCGACTCAAGTCCAGCTTGCACTGTTCGTAAATGACCCGGATGGGCCGAAGGCTCTTCTCTGTCCTGAGTTCACGGCCATTAGCTTTGCTGGGCCGGGGGAGCGGAGGAGGGATTCCAAGTGACGGTGGAAGCTGGCTGAAAAACAACGAACCTGCATGGCGTGCAGCTTGAAACGGACTTAAACCCAAATGGGAAAAGGCAGCTTCGTCTTCAGCGCTGCTGCCTGCTCTGCCTCTACGCCACATTTTTGCCTTAGGCTGGGCTTGTCTGTTCTTATCCCCCCGAGCTGTTTGCTCACTACAGGATGAGTTCCTTCCCTGGGAGGTGTTAGTCCCCTCTCCAGTGCAGGTAGACCCGGATGGCTTAGCTCCTGCTGTAGTAAAAGCTGCCAATCATTGCTAAAAAAAGCTAGAAATGGGAAGATGAGGGAAGCTGGGGGAGGGAAGAAGATGGGTACAGCAAAATCTTGTAACAACGACAACAACAAAAGTTTCTGAAATAAAAGCCTTTTAAAACATTCTCTGCCTCCAGCTTTGCCCTAGATAGGCTCTTGGTGAAATTTTGCTCGGATCTTGTAATGCTTCCCTCCTCCTCCTGGGTTTCCTTGGCAGCCCCGGCCGAGTCGCTTGGCTTGCGGAGTCATAAAGCCTCTCTGTTG